CATCCCGGTGAGTCTAAATGCACCTGTTCTTATTCCCACATCCCGGTGAGTCTAAATGCACCTGTTCTATCCCGCATCCCGGTGAGTCTAAATGCACCTGTTCTGATTCCCATCCCAGTCAGTGTAAACACTGGCACTTGGCTTTAAAAGACTTTGTCTCCTAGCCTCCAACCCCCTGACCTTCACATCATTTCACTTGGGAAAGTTACTCAGATTCCTAAACATCAGAGAATTGTTTTAAAAATTCAAAAGCTTGTCCATGTAAAGAAAGTGGGGCATGCAGTAAGCACCCAGGACAAACGCTACAATTATGATTATGATTCCTCCCACGTCCACACCCCTTCACATCCATGGGTTACTTCAGTATCTCCCCTACTCTGGAATGCTCAGGATCCAGGGGCTATTTCTTCAGGAATGTTATTATAAGTTAGTGTTTATTGCTTAGCTCTCACAAGCCCTAGTATAACATGGGAAGCATTAATACTACTGAAGCAGTACTGGTGGATTGAACAAGAAATAAATGCAAATAACTCAATTTCGTGGCAGTCTGACTCTAAAGCAAACACTAATAAAAGTGAATGTTGTTAAGTGTCATCCAGTCGGTTCCAATTCATAGCGACACTTAAGTAGGGTTTCTGAGGCTATAGATCGTTGCAGGAGCAGAAAGTCTCATTCTCTCAGGGAGTGGCTGGTGAGCTGAAACTGCGCATCTTGTAGTTCACAGTCCAGTATTTACCCTGCAGTGACACCCGTTGTTGTTGTTGTTAACTGCCGTCGCGTCTATCCTGACCCACAGCGACCCTGTTCAGGGTTTCCGAGGAGCGGCTGGTGAACTTGAACCGCTGACCTTGCAGTTCAAACAGCTTTGCAGTCTGGCGCATTAACCCACCGTGCCACACCAGCCATGGCCCCTTAAATATCTGTATCTTAAACTTATTCTGGACCCTTGGAAAGTCTAAGTAATAGAAAAAATTCCCCATCACGGAAGTAAGACAGGTAGTTCTGACAGACGCCAAAGCTCTCTGCAGTGCAGGATGGACTATGGCCACCACAGGGCAGGAATGGTGGTCAGTGATGGCCGCTCTCCCTAAAACACAGGGAATTCTTTGAGTTTTATGCGTATCAAACAATGCCATTGATATTCTGGGATTCTTATGGGCCCAGGACAAGTATCCCAACTATCGTCATATTTTTATGCAAATCCATGTCTCTGATATACCGTTTTTGGAACCTGTATAAGCCCTTCCTGTGTTAGTTTACTGAGGATACTGTGTGTATTTTATATGTGTAGGCACACTGGTAATGTCGGTGCTTTATACGGGAAAGTACGGTCATTAGGTCACAATAGGATTCATAGACCGACATGCAGTAAAATCACTGTAATTAGAAAATTTCTTTTTCAAGAATTCAGAAGTTTATTTGACTCAATTTCAGAAGATAAATCACTAAAGATAATCAAATCCTTGGGTTCTCCCAGTATGGAGATGCACATACATACACATATATGTTCAATTGCTGTCATTCTCAAGGATGACAAGGTGACCTCACTCACACAAACATCACCTGGCATTAGTATCTGCTGTACCAGCAGAGCTTCACCAAACCATACACAGGAAGGAGCTGGGGAGGGAGCGCTCCCGCTCTCGGCCTCAGACTTACCCAGCCGCAGGCACTGGCGCATGAGGCCCCCAGAAGACATGTTTTTTTCCGCCTCAATCTCACTGAAGTTTAGAGAGCTGGCAAAGACGAGGACATCAACCATGGCCATCAGTCGGCTGAGGAAAGTCACCGCTGTCTCTGCGGACATGCCTTGTGTCACTTCGATACTTTCCAATTCAGTCTTTAAAATAAAAGATTTAGTCCTGTTCAAACTTCATAAATATAATACATATCAGTGACTTTAATAATTCAGATGAACACAACTTAGTAAAGTTTGTAAACAAACTGAAATATCAGCTAATTCTAGTTATTATAAGATTTAGTTATGTACCTGGTTATGATATTTAGTTACTTTATCGGTGAATCCTACGGTAATCAGGTACTGAACAATTTTTAAATCAATGTCAAATTGAACTGCTATTGCTATTAAAATTGCTATTATTACTCAAAACTATATTCTAAACTTAATATCACTTCACAATTTAGAGAAGATCACATATATAGAGAGGACGTTAGCTTTATTAAATTATAAAAATATAAAATAGTTATTTCTATCCTAAAATCCTCATTCTCATTTATGAAAAGACACATCTTAATTATTTTACTTTTCTATATAGGTATCTCTGGTAGCGTAGTGGTTTTGAGTTGGGCTGCCAACCTCAAGGTCAGCAGTTCGAAAACTACCAGTGGTTCTGCGGGAGAAAGACGAGGCGTTCTGCTCCCGTAAAGATTTACAGCCTCGGATACCCTGTGCAGGGTCACTATGAGTCGGAACCGACTCCACGATACTTAACAACAACAACAACATGTATGTATGATGAATACTAGAAAATATAGATTTGGCATCAAAATAAGATTGACTTTCAAATTACACTGTATGGCATTTTCTTCTCCATTTCAGAATAAACTGAAATGGCTAGGCACTAGGATACAAATAATCAATAACATCATTAATTCCTTTACAGATACCCTATCCATGACAGACCTATAGACAATAGCATTAGGGTGAACTGGTAGCATTCTTAACTGGGAATTACGCTTTCATCAAATTATTGTTTATGGGGAAATGCAATTTACTGTTTTCAGAAGCAATATTACAAAATTAGTTCGTTTCTTAAAATGTGTAACTGTGTAGTTTTATTAGCAGTAGCCACTTCTTGGATTTTACTTTTCACTCTGTACTTTATACCATTTTAATTATTTTGCTTCATTATGTTCAGTATAGCCAGGTCTCATTTCTCAGGGCCTTAAGTAATGGAAGAATGAGGAATGCTTCACAAGCAAACGAACAAAAACACAACTTTGAATATTCTGAAATATGCACGTTTGGCTGCACTGATGGATCTTCCTTCCTCATCAAAATAAGCCTATTAGTAGGTCCCTGGTCCGATTTTACATTTTATGTTGACACTGTTTAAACCCACTGGTCTTCAGAAACCTTTCCTTGCTCATATTAGCATGAAAAGGTGAGTGGGAAATAGATTTGAGAGAGGAAACAAAACAAACCCAGCCCCTTAGAGATGGCTCCTGGAGATAAGGTGAGTGGTAAGGACAATAAGTTCAAGCTCACCAGCTGCTCCTTGGAAACCCTATACAGAGTCACTATGGGTCAAAATCAATTGGACAGCACTTAACAACAACAACATGGGCCTTATAAACTTACACTCAGTCTAAACAGAGTATAACATGAAAACTTTTCCCCCTCCAAAACAGGAACTTGTTTAAGATTGTCGATTTAAAACATTATGCTCATTCAATACTCATGACCACAAGAAAGTCCTTGGAATTTGGCCACAAAGATCCCTGAATTCCCAGCACTCCACTTGCATGCAGTCCCATCCACCATATCAATGCTGCATCAGTGACCACAGCACACTGGTCTACCAGCTGTAAATGTTCTATAGTGGAATGAGAAACTGTGTTTAGATCTATTAAATGTTATTAATGTAAATGTATAATATTTACACCATTTCTGTAAACTTTAATATTTCTGAGTTGATGGTTTTATTTTCATGTCATTTTGTAGTCTACAAAGACTAACCTTCAAAGTATGTTTTCATTTGAAAAGAAGTGAATTATAACCAGAATTCATGAATTATCCCTGTAACTCACTACTCAATCTGACTACAAAAGGTTTAAAAGGCATTATTGTTGCAAACAATAACATAAAAGATAATTTTATTGCATTCTACATAAAAAAGCTATAAATGATGAAATGTTATATAAACCTCATAACCTAGATTTGAAATTACAGATGACTTACATATAAGATTATTATTAAATATTAAAAGAGCACGTATTTCATCCAGTTTCATTGCAACTAGCTAAAATCTGATTGTACATACGACTGGAACATTTTTTATTCAGTTCTACGATAGTTGTTTATTCTAGAGATGATTGTGAACAAGAGAATAATTCAGCAATGCATTAATAAATTAATCTTTCATATACCAAACATATTCCTAATGTGAAAGATGGTATGGAAACTCAAAATATAACCAAGTCAAAAGTTTTGTAAATAATTAAAAAACATTTTTTTTTTCAAATGGAAAACCTGAAAATTACTGCAAAAGTAATACTAACCTTAGAACCCTGGACATGCAATAGACAAATCAGGAGACAGACCAAAAAAGGTACAAGAAAAGAAAAAAATATTAAAATTAAATAAAAATACAATGTAAAATTGAAACACAAAATAACAAATTCAGAAATTATATTTATTAAATGCAAAATCAATACTCAGAAGAGATACTCATTTGGATACCATGCCATGTTAGGATTAAACATCAAATACTCGCATTCCTATTTATATTACTATTGAGCGTGACATTCCCAGAGCGCACGGGTCCAGCCCGTGGATTAGGAGTGACGTGCGCTGTTGTACAACAAAATGTTTTTTTCTAGGAGACTACTAATGACAGATTTTGATAAATAAACTAACCTAATAGCTCCGCAAAAGCCCCAACTCTGTGTGGTTTAGACAGAAGTGACTCCTCAATTTCTCATGCATTCCTTCATGTTCAAAGGAATTCATAGCATCCTTCCTATAGATCAAACCCCAGAAGCTGATTACAGAACACAAGAAACGAGTAACAACAGTCCAAAACCACCTTTCCAGGCCAGAACAGAGCTTGGAGCTGAGGCTCGCAGATGAAATCAGACAGTGACATGAACACTGCACTGATTTCAGAGACTCAATAAGCGACGAAGAATTAGTGAAGCATGTGGGCAAACATTTCAAAATTGGCTTCTTTCATGTGAAAACAGATCAGTGTCCCGACACAGGACACTAGGGTCAGGATTGGGAGCGGAGCCCAGCAAAAACCAAAACAGGGTCATCATGACAAAACAGAAATTAATTAAAATTAAGACCTGGTCATCATTCTTGGGCTGAAAAAGTCAGGCTGCTCTTCTTTCTAAGGATTATGAAGTTGTGGGGAGAGCCAGCAATGTGGGGTCTAGGATGCTTCTGGGGGAGAGAATACAAGGTCAGGCAGGGCTGACCCAGCCATCAAGCCTAAGCAGGCTTCTGGGGGCCGACGAGCGTGGCCGACTTACACTAGCAGTGATTAGCAGCTGAGGGTGGAACTACGTCCCTTGTGACATCTTCATTCACGACCAACTCCCACAACACAATACAGGAAATATGAAAGGATTCAACTCCCACAACACGATACAGGAAATATGAAAGGATTCAATTCCATGGCCAACAAAACATGCACTTAACACCGTCCACAACAACCACAGAATGATCCTTTCCACAAAGCAGGGTTAGACTATGTGCTCAGAAGACAACCCTTTCCTCCTCTGAGCATTAAAACTAATGGTGCGATTGAGACTTGAGGCTAAATTGTCATGTATTTTCTATGCCATATGGGATTCCAACAAATCTAGGCAAAATAAAAACCTCCAATAAAACCATGCTTCTTTAACGAATACTAAGTTTCAGGGATCCACTGTTTATACAAAAAAGTATAAAGGAAATAGATTTTTCCCGTAAAGTTCCCATTAAAATATGCACTTATATGTAACATCAAGGTGATTCCAATGGTTAATGCTGTTGGCTGCTAACCAAAACGTTGGAGGTTCAAGATCACCAAGAGGCACCTTAAAATAAATTCTTCTCAAACTACTTTCAAAGCATCAGACATTGCAAATCCTGCTAAGTACAGTTCTACTCTGACACACATGTCCCGGGACCACCGTCAGTCAGAACCAACTCAAGGGCAACTGCTTTGGCATTTCCCCCCCCCCCAAGATGCCTCAGCTCCAACATTTCTCCCTTGACAGTGGTACAGCAGCAGCAGCAGCAGCCCACAGGGGTGCATGGGGTCATCCTGCACACGAAACATGGTCTGCTCATCTCAGGGCCAGCGGACAGACATGAGGGCACTGCAGCCAGAGCTCTCAGAGGAGTTACAGCTGACACTGAGCTTAGCTCCAACAGGTCACCCACATCAGGACTTCTCAAGTGGACAAGCTTACTTTATAAATTAGAAAACTGGGTCAACATTCAGTAATTCTGAATGAATCACCTTGAAAATATGTACAGGAACCATGTGGCACCTTCTCCTTTCTGTGCACTTGTCATGGCTCCCAGAACGTCCACAAACTCTCCACGGACGAGCAAACTCAATGACACTCGACAGGAAGGGACTAAAGGACAGGGTCTATCTAGGAAGTGGGCTTCCACTCACCATGACAGGAAGCTGACAGCCACATGCCACACACTGAGTCACAGGAACTTAATGGAGGTCCCAGCGATTCCTCAGTAGTGACAGGGAGCAGGTTGAGAGAATTTGTTTTGGAAGAAAAGGAGATTCATACTTTCCGGAAAAGACATCATAAATTGGGAACTAACAGAAATACTTAACAAAATCCCATTGCCAACAAGTCAATTCCAGCTCAAAGCGACTCTATATGATGCAATGATGGTGCTGGTGGGCCATAGAATCAGATCTGATTCAGTGGCATCAGGATTGGAGGAAGACTCATTAACAACCTGCAACATGCAGATGATGCAACCTTACTTGCTGAAAGTGAAGAGGACTTAAAATACTTACTGATGAAGATCAAAGAGCACAGCCTCCGGTATGAATTGCATCTCAATGTCAAGAAAACAAAAATCCTCACCACTGGACCAATAAACAACATTCTTATCAATGCAGAAAAGATTGAAGTTGTCAAGGACTTCATTCTTCTTGGACCAACTATCAACACTCATGGAAGCAACAGTCAGTAAATCAAATGACATGTCACATTGGGCAAATCTGCCGCACAAGACCTTTTTAAAGTGTTGAAGAGCAAAGATGTCAGCGTGAGGACTAAGGTACACCTGACCCAAGCCATGGTATTTTCAATAACTTCGTATGCAT